ACAAGTCACCACAAGAAGGAAGCACACATACACACAAATATATATATATACAATTCTATCACACCTTGCTAGGCTTGAACTTCCATCCAATCAGAGCATTCCAAATGAACATGATTCTCCACAAAACTAGAGGGCGCTCTGACCAAAAAATTGCCATGATCTAAATAAAAAGAACTGATATATATATATATATATATATATATATATATAAATAATCCTATAGTTATCATGCCACGAATAACCAATCACTCAATTTGAGAAATTTTGAATTGCAGGTGAGCACTGTTTGAAGGCGTGCATTATCTAGGTCAAAGGTGAGACTAACACGTGATCTTTTGTTTACTACTTGGTAGTTTTAGTACCTGTGTGTTTATTTTACAACAATTCCAGGCACTGATTTGACGACGAACTAGTGCCGATGTTGATAACTCACTACAATAGGTTACACACTTTGTTTTCACAAATTGTAAATGTATTTGTATGTTCTTGTCTGTAATTCTCTAGGTGCAGTCCCACTTAAGGTGTCTTGTTTACTTCAGTTTTGTCAGTTTGAGCAGAGTTTTTTTTTTCATGTGCTTTTTCACCAACTCAAGATGCCTGCTTTTGTGAAACCACACCCATATTGTAACTAAATGTTGAATTAAAAGTTAATCAAACTTCAATTTACAGGGATCATACGTTAAACCAAAAAAAAATCTCTATTGTTCGTAACTGTTAATTAAAGTTTGAGTTACTAAATGTGGACATTCACTGAAAACAAAAATGCATGTTGCTTGTACTATAAAAATGCTGATAACTGTTAATTGAACATCAAATTACAATTTGGGAGTGGTTTCACAAAAGTGGGCATGGTCAATGTTTTCGTAACTCAATGTAAGTAACTTGAACAAGCATCTCACCAACTGAACCACTAAACACATCATGGATATCTTGTGCTATTACCATTGTTTAGATGTCAATGAGAATTTTCATTTACATTCTGCTACAAAAGAGTAATTAATCCAGAGTAATTAAAATCCAAGAAATTATTTGGGGGGGGGGGGGAATGGTCATAATGATTTTTTTCTTTATTTAAAGGTAATCCAGAATCAATTCTTTATTGAATATTCATTATATGAAGCTAGAGAAGAAACTATTTGTAACCAAGCAAGCTTTACTAAAAATTGACTCTACATAGCATATCTAGTGAATAAAGCAATTGTTTTAAAAAGTGTAAAATTTTTCACCAAATGATGAAATATTTGCATAGTAGATACAGATAAATTAATCCCCTGAACACCAATGTTAGATTTTGTTACCTTTCACAAAAATAAATTTACATATTTCTTTCAATAATTTTGATCAGATTCTGTTGGAAAATTAGATCTATTTGGTCGAAAATCAAAAAATATAAAAAAATACCTAAAAATGATGCACCAAATTTATGCGGGAAAAATGTATGCTGCTCAAAGAACTAATGCTCTGAAAATTGTGCTCTATTTTTAAAATTTACAATACACTGCAATAATAATACATCTCTGCTTAATAATGACACAAGGTTTACTAAAAAAATAGTAAAGTACAGCCCCAGATCCTAATAGACACAGCTAACTAATGAAATGCAGACAATGTAAGCACAACAATTTCTTGATACAAGATTTCATCAAAATAAATGAGAAAAATAAATTGGAAGGGGGGGGGGATGTACTTGTTTTTATAGCATACATACAACAACTACGGTTCATATTTCAAAAACTATTTTAAGTACACCAAGTTTTTTCTTCAGACTTTCAACCAGTCAGTCTAATGGATTAACATAATTTCAGAAAATTCCTGGGTCAAAAATGTGTATTGTTACATCCATTTGTCACAGACAAGTTGGATAGGTGTAGATATTACTATTAATAATCAATAAACTAAGGAGTCAAATATCCAATTACATAAAATTGTTGCAGGCAACCAGTACTTCAAGCTAAAATAAAAATTCCTAAGTGGAATTCTAATGCCAAAAAAAAAAAAAAAAGATTGCACTCATCTTAGGAACAATGTAGACCAGAAAGATGTTTTTCTATAAGTAAACATTTTATGAAACAAACTAACCATTCACATCTCCAAGTCAACTTTTGTCAAAAATTACAACCCACATTAATTAGAAGAAAACAAAAATAGTAAACATAGTTGAACTCTGGTGACCTTGCTCTTTGTTGTATAATATTATTTCCGTTCTCATAGTTTCAATATGAATATCTAGTCATAATTAATTTTGAATTAAAACAAGTTTTAGAATTAAAACATCAGTAGGAAAGCAGTCTACCGAATATCTTACAAAAAAATTGATGCCTAATTTGTTTAATCATTTGTCATAATATACATATTTTTTAGTACAATTTTCCTTTCAAAATGTCCATGCAATGTTTTGCTTTTTATGTATTTTTGCATTGTTTTTGTTTTGATAACTTTGGCTTCAGATCTTGATCAAAAGTTTGGCACCCAATTCATAGGAGTGCTTATATCGATTATCTGACATCTTGTTTTTGTTAAGATTTTATTGGTAGGTTTGCAAATGTGTATCAGACTGTGCAAAAACTATCTATGGCATTGAAAGCATGGGATATGATTACAAGATAAATGATTTGCTTCATTGAACACATACAACAACACATATTTCCCACTGGGATCAGTGACCTTTGAATGTGTATCACCAGTGATCAGTCAAGTAGAAACAGTCAAAATATTTGATCTAATTTTCTTAATTTTTGCATGATATTTTTACACAGGATATCTGTCGTTTGAACTAAGGGAAGATTTTAAATTGATGAATTAGGTGACCAGGTTTGATAAAGTTTGGAATAGAATTAGTAAAGTTATTGTGCACACATTAACAATTATTAACAACGATAACAACAACAACAACAACACCACCACCGGACAGACATTTTCCCCTTAATATACCTTTCCCTTCCATCTTTGATAATACGGGCAAGGTAAAAACAAGCAGCCTCTTGGCTGAGATAGCTCCGCTGTTAGCAATGCACATTTCAATGACAGAACTGATGATAACATTAGAAAATGAACAAATCGAGACGTATCTGAGGTACCTATATGTATAGTATCAAATCAATCAGACTTCAACAAGAAGTCGAAAATATAACTTTTTACCGAAAATGATACATATACACCAAGTATCAAAAGAATAAGGCTTGTAGTTTTCAAAAAGGAGTCAAAAAATTAATAATTTGACACCGACGACAAATGAAGACGGACACAAACTACAGACGACAAACAAAGACAGACAATAACTCATATGATAAGCTCCACTCGACAAAGTTGACAGCGAAGCTAAAAATGTGCACCAAAATATTGTTGGAAAAATTATTGTTTGCAAAGGTTATTTACAACAGACATTTCATTAAAATCATAACTTAGCAATAGATGAAAATGGCCGCTGACCCCATCATCACATAGAATGTTCCCAGGATCTATGTAACCATGGCATTTGGAAACAATGGACAGAATAGTGAGAGAGAATGGGACAAAAACAAAATGTTACAGCTCTCAGTCTGAATGAGATTTCAGTGGCCAGTTGCAAAAATGGTTCATTGTAATTGTCATTATTTATTTGTAAAATTAGTGAAATAAGAATGAGTTATCAAATTTGTTTCCATGATAATTATATTTTTAGATTATCTCTATAATAAAGTGTACCGTCACTTTAAAAACAAATTGCTGACATCTGGGATATTTGTGATATTTTCTATTGGTGATCCTCATTTTTAGACAACTGATAGAAAATGAATGATCGCTTCAATTTGATTGAAATCTGCATTGTTCCAGTCATCTTACTACCAATCAGAAGTTGTGTTACAGAGCACTTTCTAGGAAAATTCACTCGGTTTTGTTAACATTCCCTACTCGGGATATGCTGCTTGAATACAATTTGCACAGGTACATGGAGTTGTTCAGATATACGTGGAGGTGATGTCATCATAATCTGAACTGAATGAAGCCTCTACAAACATTGGATTTTAATCAGAACATGATTATTCAACTGTTATTCTGTGCATATAAGAGAATCAAGTCTTAATTGACAATAATAATGAACAGTAAAAATGCAAAGGCTCATGGGTAGATGCTTAATTTTAGACAACATTACACCATTTGTTGCATGTACAGGGGACGATTTCCTCACTTTAACTTTAATAACAACGAATTAAAGCCAGAGGGTCATCACCTGCGCATACGCGGGAATTGAGTCCCAAGCGACGATAACACACGCCAAAAAGGCAAAGGCTCATGGGTAGATGCTTGTTTGTAAACAATGACACGCTATGGCCATCTGACGCATGCGCAGGTGACGACTCCCCCGCTTTAAACGCTTTTTCCAACTTTTTTTGTCAAAGTTGTAATTTGATTAAAAATATACGAAACCAATAAATTCAATTTGTCATTTAAAAGGCCGTATGACCATGGTAGAATTTTAGACAATATGAACAACATATTATATAATTATTTTGAGAAATTGTATATGTAGTTAGCACCATTAAAATTTTTAAAAATCTAAACATTATTAATGTTGGTTTGATAAAATACAAGAGTTATTGTGAGTACTGCCTGATTAAAATGAATTAACTTTTTATAAGCTATACCCTTTCAAACCAATAATTTGATGCAATATTTGGTAATTTTTCTGTAATTTTCGACCAAATAAATATAAAAAAAAAATAATGCAGGTATATTTTGCGAAATAAAAAAATTTCATTTTGTCGTTAAAATGGTTAACAGCGTACATAGATGTGGTAACTAAATTAACCCTTGACAGTCAAAGCCAGCTGTGTCATTTTTTGCCAAATAAAAAATCTACAAAATTGTTTCCATATTTACCCAACAATTTTGATCAAGACCAGGATTACTTAAATTAAAAATAAACAACAAATTACAGAAAATGCATACAAAATATTGCATCAAAGTCTCTTCAGAGAAAATTATGTCACTCGATTATTATGAAATGAAATTATGTAATTTCATTTCCTACAATAACCAAGTAGTCGCTTTCTGGTATTTTCTTCAGAGACCGTCAGTGGCGTTTGTTCCCTATGTTCCCTTATGCTACCTTCTTTGACATGGTAGAAGACGTAGTCAGCGAGATCGTTCAAAGTAATATACCCCTGTCGCATTACTTTGTCTCGGTAATTTGAGCATTCATGACATACTTGTGACTCGTACGGATTCAGGTGACACTTCTCAGCAGCACGTAGTCCGGCAACGATATGCTGGGTAAACAAACTGAGCTTTCTGTTGCGGTAACCGATTGATTCCTCATGGCCTTTACTTGCTGACCACTGCACGACACTGTAATTTGCAGACTTGGATGCTGAATTGGCATTTTTGGCTTTTACAACACTATCATCACCTGTATCAAATTTATATAGAATCGGAACACCACATTCTTTCATCTCTTGGTCGTTTTCACAGTCGGCATCCACGGACTTCGAAAATAACAAGTTACTCGGCATAGGCCCCCTGTCGGCAGCAAAACAGCAATCAAGGATGATGAGCAACTGTGTACATTTCATCTTGTAAAGGCATTTGCGCAACTCTGACACTTCTAAATCATCGCCACCATTACAAACAAGACCCTCTCCACTGTTAGAAGAATGTCCAGAAAAATAAAACAAGAAGCTCGTTTCAAACTGGTTTTCCATTTTCTTGCTAAAATCTTGTAGTTGATGGAGTATATTTTTTGCAGTTAGTTGCAGGTGAGTATCCCCTTTATTTGTCATCAAAACTGCATTCTCTTTTCTAAAAAAAACAAAACATAGCATAATTATTACAACCTTGTCTATTGAAAATCAAGTAGGAATTCTGAATGAACACAAACAAATTAGTCATCTAGTATGATGTTTTCTTTGTATGGCAACTGTGAAAATAAAATACAATAATACATCTGAAAAATACTGGCTAAACATTAGGTGGCAAAATTCTGAACATAAACAATTAATCTTCATGTTCCTCAATAAAACTTCATGCACTGTATTAATCTCAAAGTTCCTTATAGAACAAAAAAACACATGAATTGTATAAAAATTCGCAAATAATACAGCAAAATATATGATCTGTTAATGGTTCCTTACTTAATAGCACCAACGTGCGGATTTGTAAACTCCTTGTAAACACTGCTTGCATCTTTGTGAAAATTAACAGAATTTTTAATATCATTGGTGCCAATAAACAATCCATAACTTTGTGAATGACCTGCATAATGGAAAAAATAAGTTGATGTTAAAATAATGAAATTGACCGAAATATGTAGGTAGTAGGAAACTTTATAGTCCAAATGAACAAAGCAGAAAGCTGATTAGTCCAAACCATGCAAAGCAGGAAGCTGGGTAGTCAAAATGGTACGTAGCATGAGGCTGGGTAGTCAAAATGATATAAAGCAGGCAGCTGGGTAGTCCAAATGATACAAAGCAGGCAACTGGGTAGTCCAAATGATATAAAGCAGGCAACTGGGTAGTCCAAATAATACAAAGCAGGAAGCTGGGTAGTCAAAATGATATAAAGCTGGCAGC